GCTACAAACATCAGTGCTGAAGGGACGGCAGGAATAGCGGCGGGAGCGATCGGCACGAGGGTTCCTATAACCATAAGCATCCTTGATCATCTCAAAATACTTGGGACTTGGCAGAACAGTCTCACATACTACCTCATTTACTTCTCAGAACCACTCTGTGGGGTAGGTATTATCCCCGTTTTAAAACTAAGAAAGCTAGATTTGGAGCGATTAAGAGACTCGCATCAAGGCATGGGACTGCCACGTGAACCTCCTCCCTCGAAAGCTGAGCGCTCTCGACCAGGCTACACTGCCAGGCACACGTCTATCTGCATTCTGGTTGACGATAAAACCTGGTGAGACGCCCAGTGACTTCCAGAGCCAGATGGGAAGTCTGGGGTCAGGCCATGGCGTAACGCAGGCCTCGGGGCAGACTTGCTGATCCTGCTCCGAGAATCTCCTTCGTAGCTCTCAGGGTCCTTGCAGGGGTTCACCTTTGGTACCAGGGGAAGGAGATGCGAAATAAGACCGTTAACAGAGGAAGCTTCTGGAGGTGAGGTTAACATCGCGAGAACGTGAGGAAGGCAGTATGGAATGGGGGCCTGAGGGATACGGAAGGGCAGAAAGCGTGAGATGGGTGGGGATGGCCACAGCAGCCACCCAGCCCATGTGACCCCGGAAATCGACATGTAAATGTCTGCTTGGGCTCCTGTGTCTGCAGCCGAGGGTATCAGAGGTCCCCTTCCAGACTTCTGCACACACAGGCAACATCAAGCCTCACTCGATGAATGAAGCGCTCCAAACTGCCCCCCGGGGCTGGCATCGGGGGCTCGCAGATCGGAAGGGGTTTCTGCACATGGGTCTTACTAGAGAGTCCCATCTATTTCACTGGGCCAGTGTAGGAGAAAAGAGAGCCTTGGACTCCAGCCTGGACTTAGTGACCTGTTTGTTTACACGTTTGCCCCCTCCCCTAAATTGGAAGGACAATGCTGGGCCTTACTCAGATTCATACAAGAATTCCATCAATCTCCTAGTTGAAGAACCTAGAGCGGGCTCCACGTCAGTATGACTCTAGACAGGCTCCTGCATGCCTCCGTGCCATGACTCCTTTGTTTCTCTTCTTTTTTCTTTCTTTTTAAATATTTATTTTTGGAAGAGTGTAAGTGGGGAGGGGCAGAGGATTGGAACTGGGCTCTGCACTGACAGGCTGACGGCACAGAGCCCAAGGTGGGGCTTGAGCTCATGAACCCAACCGCGAGATCATGACCTGAGCTGACGTCAGACGCTCAATGGACTGTTCGGAAGCCATGGTTTGGGGGAGAGGACCTCTCTGCTGGGGTGGAAAGGCCAGGACCAGAGAGCCAGCAGCACAGGAGCCTCATCAAGAGGGTGAAAATAAACCTCACCCTTTCCTGTCTTCCAACACAGACCCAGTTCTCCCATGTACTTTCTCGGCACTTACTGCCACCATCGTGCTGACCTCTCTCCCTCCGCCCCCCCTTCTCCAACAGGGAATCCCTCCTAAGTTCCAAGTACCTTGTCTGCCCCTGAACTGGTTACAGAGGTAACTGCAAAGACCTCACGGTCACCTGGGCATCAGGTATTCTGTTTACAGGATACCTCATTTTAGTGCTTTACTGTGCCTCTCGGGTGCCGTGGTGGTGTTTTTTTAACTGAGGGTCTGTGGCCATGCTGTGAAGCAAGTCTGTGGGTGCCCGTCTTCCGAGAGCATTTGCTCACTTCCTGCCTCCGTGTCACATTTTGGTAATTCTCACAGTATTTCAACTTTTCCATTACGATTGCATTTGGTATGTGATCTGTGATCAGACATCTTTGATGTCACCACTGTGTAATTGGTTTGGGGCCCCACAAACCATGCCCATATAAGACACGTATAATAAATATGTATATAATAAATATTGTGTGCTCTGCTCCACCAACTGGCTGCCCCCACCCCAGCATCCCTGTTCCCTGAGACAGGGAATTAGGCCATATTATATTGAATATACTGATTAATAGTCCTACAGTGGCCTCTGTGTGTTCAGGTGAAAGGAAGAGTTATACATCTCTCCCCTTAAAAGCTAGAGATGGTGAAGCTGAGTGAGGAAGGCACGTCGAAGCTGATAGAGAGAAAGCCAGGCCTCGTGCACCAAGCAGCGAGCCAAGCTGCGGATGCAAAGGGAAAGTTCTTGAAGGAAATTACATCTGCTACTCCAGGGAACACACGAATGACAAGACAGCGAAACAGCCGTACCGCCGACGTGGACGAAGCGTCCGTGGTCCGGACGGAAGAGCCAACAGCCACGACATTCCCTTAAGCCACAGCCTGACCCAGAGCAGGGGCCTGGCTCCCTTCAAGTCTGTGAAGGCTCAGAGAGGGGAGGAAGCCGCAGAAGAGAAGTCTGAGCTGGCAGAGGCTGGGTCACGAGGTTTAAGGGAAGAAGCCGTCTCCGTAAAAGTACAGGGTGAGGAAGCAAGTCCGATGGAGAAGCTGCAGCAAGTTCTCCAGAAGGTCTAGCTGAGAGAATTGATGAGGGGGCTACACTCAACCACAGGTCTCAGTGTAGACAGAACAGCCTTGCACTGGAAGACGCCATCTAGGACTTTCATGGCTGGAGACGAGTCCGTGCCTGGCTTCAAAGCCTCAAAGGACAGGCTGACTCTCTTGTGAGGGGCTAATGCAGCTGGGTGACTTGAAATTCTGACCTACTACTTAGAAAAAAAAGATTCCTTTCAAAACATGACTGCTCATTGACAATGTACCTGGGCACCCAAGAGCGCTGATGGAGACGGACAATGAGATTAGTACTGTTTCATGTCTGTTAACACGACATCCATTCTGTAGCCCAAGGATCAAATAGTGAATTTCCTTTCAAGTCTTATTACGGAAGAAATACCTTTCATTAGGCTACAGCTGCCACAGATAGTGATTCCTCTGATGGATCTGGGCAGAGTAAATCAAACACCTTCTGGAAAGGATTCACCTTTC